AAGTTCTCATGTTTGATGGGCCCTACAATCAATCCAAAAATTACAGTAAATTAGATCAAAATTTGAGGTCTCAATAACATTGCTCAATTTCAAATGGATAATCATTTAACCAAATGAAAGTTTCTAATATGTATAATTGGAAAAGAACTATATTATTCGAGAAAGATTCAAAGGAAAATAAAGAATTATTTGGCTTGATGAAATTTTTTTGCCTCATGTAAATATGCCCTTACGAAAATATGATTAGTGGATTACCCAGTTAAATATGAAAATTGATTGGCATAAATTCTTGAAGAATCGAGATCTAATGGGACTACAAGTGTAGCTTAATAATGGACTTTAAAAAAATATTTTTGAAAATAATGGATGGTATTAAATATCCAATTTTCATCTCTACCCAAAAAAAAAAAAAGATGATAATCTTACTCAATTAAACTATGTTATTACGACATTATTAAAATATGACATCACTATCCAATAAACATGGCATTTTATATAAGCAGAATAAATTATTAATACTTTTAATAACTATCCCCACCACACATTACATCTCAACGTATCAAAAATATCATTGTGAAATAAATAGAGTACCAAGTGTATCAATAACGGGAAGGAAAGCAAGGGTGTTTTGGTCCTTTAATGGCATTGTCGACGTCAAATACACCATTGCTCACGTGTTATTTTCCAGTTAGCACTCGCAGGTTTTATATAGATTTTGTTGAATGTTGACCACACGCCATTTCCCTTCATCAACAACACGGAAAAAGGCTTCTGTATATATATAATATAGATACAGCTTCTAACTCCCCAAACCTATTCTCTCTCTCTCTCTCTCTCACACACACATACACATAGATAAATTCATCATCTCTTTTGGGTGAACATCGATCAAGTTGTTGGGGNCTCTCTCTCTCTCTCTCTCTCTCTCTCTCTCTCACATACACATAGATAAATTCATCATCTCTTTTGGGTGAACATCGATCAAGTTGTTGGGGGTTGAAATGGAAGGAAACAACTCGTATGGAACATCATGGGCAGATCAATGGGACAGCGGTCCAGACCCAGTAGCGTATGAGCCCAAAAAGAACGGTTCTGGTGGTGGTGGTATGACTGCCAAATATGGGAAGAAGGTTGGAGAAGGACTTGGGAAGACAAAAGCTGTGGCTTCAACTGGGGTGAAGAAGGTCAAAGAAGGAACCACCACGGGCTTTCAATGGATCAAAGACAAGTATCACAAGCACAAGACCACCCAGAAGCACTGATATATACAAATACACACATATATAGATATATATATATATGTATGTATATATGGGCATATATATACAAAGATTTCTTCTGTAGATCTTCTATTCGCATAGGCTTTGTGGATCTTCTTCATGATACTATATGTTGGTTGCTTGGTTAGTTTTTATGTATTCATTCATTTATTTTTCTGTATCATAGACTTGAATTCCACTTATGGTGAGACCATGTTTTTTTTTTATCCCTAGTTTCTGGATCATATATATTTATATCTGGTGTGCTATACTTTTTCTTGTTTCAATAGTTCAATTAGACCAGTTGTTTGTGGGACCCAGAGAAATATTAAAATTTCTCCGTCGGGGAGGTGCGAAATTATAATTTTAAACTTTGACAAGAACGATGAATTAGAAACGCATATCTATTAAGTTTGAATCTTGAAAATCTCTTTGTAATTAAATTATAAAAAATTTATATCTCATAAATTTTTTAGTACATCACTCGCCTTTGATGATAATAAAATTAGTGGTAATGTGTATAAATTAATCTAAAAAACCCTAACCATTGACAAAAAAATAATTATAAATTTGAAAATTCATCCCACTTACGATGGTTTTTGAATTGGTAGCAAGAACTGCACAATTATTTTTTATAGTCCATACTATTTAAGAGAACGATGATGAAACTTTAAACCCGTGACAGTAAGTATAACGAGGGCAATGGCCTAATGGCTAATAGGCCAACCAACCTCCTGAGTCAAACTTGACACCATTGGCCATCTCTGTCACTAACCACACACATCAATTAAAAACTATTTGTGTCTGCTCAAAGTTGCCCAAAGAAATTCGCAAATCAAAGACATCTTTTCAAATGTTTAGGATTCTCTTTAGAAGACTGGTTTGTGGGAGTTGTAAAGCAACCATTAGGGTTGCACTATGATGAGGATGATCTCAGAACAACCTAACTTGGATAAATGAATATTATATGAATAATAAACATGTCAATCAATCAACCAATACCCCAATCCACGTTATCCCTCTAACAACCCAACCACCACAAATACCCAATTAAGTAATGCAATTAATGAGTTAAAAAGTAATGTTATGTACACCAAAAATTACACTAAATTACTTATCAGATCAGTAAATCTCATCACTAAATCACCCGTTGCATTTAATTTGACATAAATTTTTGTACACAAATTTGATATATAAAAATTTACCCATGAGTTAATTCATCAAACAGATAGTGTGTGCATTGCAAGTGTGCATATGCCAAGTTTCAGCATTAAAAAAAAAATAAAAAAAAATCAGCATATTGATCTCCACCAACAACAACGCAACCCACGAGGAGGGATTCCAGGTCCAACATACAAATTATTAAATGCACCAACTGAAATTGAACTTAACTACCCTTTGATTAAACTGCTAATACACAAAGCAATCTGAAGTTCGTTGCCTCTTGCTTGATTGTTACCACCACAGAAAGCTTCCCATCACATTCATGTTCGAAGAGATGCTGAGCTTTGAAAGGATGCACCAGTTTACTGCTACAAAACTTGACCAAGATCTGTTTTCTAATACTGTAAGGTAGCAAGCTCACTAAGGTAAGATAAGATAATAAATCCTCTTCAGCCAATGTCTGAACTTCCATCTCATATGCACATTAGATTGAAATGTCCATTGCACAGGTATTCACTTTCCACCATGGCATATTGGATAATGAACATACTAGAGGCACTCATGAATGATCAGCCTGAACTCAGAAGGCACAACAAATATTCTGAACCATATGTTGAGTATAGATCAGCAGTACAGAAATAGGATGATGAAAAACAAATATACCAAGGTTGTATCAAGCACAGTGACAAATTGAGAAAATAAATTAACTTGAACATCACAATTCTTGGAGTCAACTGAGGATAGCCATTTGAAGTCAGCGCATAGAGAATATGCATTCACTTCAGGCCATCTCTTGTTTGTCAATTTTGGAAAGAAAGAATGGTGTTTCAAAGCAGTATACTTGATCCTAAGGAGGACAGTGTAGCGTAAATGCTGAGTATTAGGACATTAGTTGTATTGGCTTCTTCCCCGCAACTTCAGAGTACCATGACTTCCAAGCTTCCACATAATGGGCAAAGAGATCTCTCAAAGCTGAACCATCACAAACCAATTATCCATCAATTTACTTTGCTACAAACCATAGACCAAGAGGAAGGCAATCAAAAAAAAAAGTAACCAAAATGAATGGCAAACCCTAAACTAATTATTCTAAAACCAAATTTTGCATGCTAAAAAAACAATGTTGGGCATAACATATGATACTGTGGTACTGTTATATGGCCATTCAAGAACCAAGCATAGGATGATACCTTGGTTGTGATATTGTGGCCGATAAGTGGAGGCTAGACTTTCCCAATCATGAACTTGGTTCTCTTTGTTCTTCTCAGGAGCTCCAGCTTGGGCCACCGTGACTGGAGCAAAAGGACCGAACTGGTAATTCTGTGGAGTCTGTCTTGAATCCTGCTCCAAATTGCTCCTTTCAACCTCATTTTGCAAAGTCTCACATTTTACTTGTGCTTGCAATTGCATCTTCATATCCTGGTCTGGATTCACACAAATAGATGAAACCACCTTGGTCCTCTTAATATTGGCATTTGTGAGCTCGGTCCCAAATGTCCTTTTCTTAGACTCATTAAGAAGCCAAGCAACAGCAGATGTACTTTCGGATTTTCCTGGCATCCCCAACCACCTGAAGGCAGGCTTCCTCGTTTCAGGGTGATGGATCTGTGGATCATTCAATATAGATGTTAATTTCTAGTACTAATTGTCTGAAATCCTTACTTAGATAAACTTAGGAGTACAATGATTTGTTTTAAAGTTGCTCTTTCATTCCCCTAAATAAACCNGAAGGCAGGCTTCCTCGTTTCAGGGTGATGGATCTGTGGATCATTCAATATAGATGTTAATTTCTAGTACTAATTGTCTGAAATCCTTACTTAGATAAACTTAGGAGTACAATGATTTGTTTTAAAGTTGCTCTCATTATAAATGACAGGATTACCTTCTCAATGAAATTCATGGAGGACAACACATTTGCAATATCATAAAGCCGTCTAACTTTTGCTGCAGAGATATTTTTAAAGAGAGTGTTAGTCAAAGAGTTTTTGGATCATTTTCCAGTCAGTAAATCATTCAAGAAAGCAAAGGAATATTACTTCTCATCATAGAGGGATCCTGACCATCTCCAAGCAATACCTTTGCTGCCTCATCCAGAGAGATCATATTCACCTAAGAAAAAAATTTATTGAACACAATCAAACTAGAGGACAACTACCTTGTCAATCATGGACAATACAACAAAACAAAATCACCTACGTTAGAGCAAAGGAAAAGCTTGACAAAATTCTGGGTAAGAAGTCCCAACGATTTTTCTTTCCTGTTTTCTGTTACCAAAAAACAAATAAGTCCAGCAATTCATCAACAAAGCACAGAACACCAAAAAACAAACTTTTGACCAGCGAAACTGGTTAGTTTGTGCTCAATCTACCAAATAAAGACATTACAGTATGTGCAAGTATTTTTATCCGAAAATTTACCAGTTTTAGATGACCTTGAGATTCCAGGGACACAACTAGGGTTTGATTTGTTATCCTGACTTGAAGTAGTGAGATTTGAAAATCCCTCATCCTCGTCATCATCGAAACTCTAAATATAAAAAAGAAAACTGTTCAGTTTTTTTTTTTATTATTCAGTGAAACAAATTATTGCAAAAAAAATTGTTAAAGAGTGAGATTAATTTCAAACCCTAAATAGCATACTTTTGCATAGCTGCTGTTGTCAGATGCATCACAACTCTCCTTCAATCCCTTTTCCTATTACCACATCAGAACAACAAAAAATTTCCAAAATTACAAATAAACAATGTTGTGCGTAATTTGAATCTACCCTCTATAACTAAATCTTATAAAACACAGAAAAAATTGATTATTACCTTTAGCTCCTGTAAAGTCCTAGGTATTGCTCCAAATCCTTTCCAAGAATACCGATTCTTTGCCTTCTTTGCAAGAACCTGTATCAATCACACAAAAAAAAAAAAAATGAAACTCTTGGACATTAANATACCGATTCTTTGCCTTCTTTGCAAGAACCTGTATCAATCACACAAAAAAAAAAATGAAACTCTTGGACATTTATTTACTTAATTGAAGAAGCATAAAAGCAAATGGGTTACAAAAAATTAAAAATCTTACACCAACGCTTTCCAAAACATTCACAATATCATAGATCCGCCGCCTCTCCACACCTATAACTCCAAAAACGTTATCAATCTATACATAACCATGCACAAACTAATCAAAAGAGTTGAGGGTACAAAATTAAAATCAGATCAAAACCTAATTTGGCTGCAGCATCATCAAGTCCAATGGTTTCTATACCATCCCGATTGTACAAGCTCAAGAAACTGCATCAAATCGAAACAAAAAATAAGAGACAGAAGAAAAAACGCACACACACACACACATATAGAGAGAGAGAGAGAGGGTAGAGACTCGAGATAGAGGAAGTACTTGGAACATAGGAGACCTAGAGATTTCTGTTTACGGCAGTAGGTAGAGTGTCCAGATCCAGTTTCTTGTGAGGCTGAAGAAGCTAATGCCATACCTACAGTATTAGTAATAGAACTATACAAATGCTCTAACCGTGAGAAAGTTACAGTTGGAGAGAGATAGAGAAAAAGAGAGAGTAATGGAAGGGAATGGGAGAGAGAGAGAGAGAGAGAGATTGCGTGAAGCAGAGGACCGTTAAGAAAGGGTTGTTGACTTTGGCGGGTTAAAGGTTGGGGAGGGATGATTCTGATTTTCAAAAATTTGAAAGAAGAACCAACTAGCGGGAATACAAAATTCAGAATCGCGTTTTTATCTAGAGAAACGCGCCTCTGTGGTTTGAATTTACGATTTTGGCCTCGTTTGGCGGTTCCGTTACTACTGGTCCGCTGGTGATTAGTAAGGCATCCAAGGGGTAAAGAACCGGGAATTAATTATGATCTGTTAGTATTTTAGGGAATCTAAAGAGATGTGGGTAATTATCATGTGATTAGATTTTATATAATTTTTTCATTTGGACAGTTTATGTTTTGTTAATATTATATGGGGAGAACCTTAACACTTTTCAAAACTAACATAAAAAAACTCCACTCAAACTTCTCACTCATATCAAATAATACAGATTTGTGTCGAATTTTAATGAATTTGTGTTAAAAAATACTTCACTCATATTTGATTAATTTATTAACTCGTATCTAACGAATCGTGTAATATCCAGTTCGTGTTGTGTAGAACTAATATATAAACAAGTTGTATTGTTTATTTTTTTTGATTAATTTTACATATACACAATTTATTTATTAATCGTATCTTGTTAAATCCACTCATTTATGAAACAAGTTACCTAAAAAAGACTTAAATTCACTAACTTCATGTAGCATTCATGTGTTGAGTTATATTTTTACACCGCTAACTCAAATTAAAGTAGATAGAGGGGCAACCAGCAGAGTGGGAGAGGATGAGTCGATGTAGGGGAAAATCTTGTTCATCACTAAATTTGTTTATGGTTAGCGATGAGTTTTTATCTCCTAATCCATGTCTTTTCTTAAGATGTTATGTCAATACTTAATCAACAGTGGTGCGAGTTTTTAAACACGTAATTCTAAACCCAAAATTTATGTAGTCCATAGGACCATATCGGCTTCATTTTTTGGGGAAATATAAACATTCAATGACCACTATGCAAAATATACATAATCCATGGTGACTGCAACCAAAGTGTAGCACAAAAAAATTCCCACCTTGCTATCCCATCCAAAACAGGGGAGAAGAGAAACTAGACAGGGAATGTATAGAATGAATCAGATTGGAGAGCTAGCTCTTTTTGTTAGATTGTATTAGAACCATACACTATTACGCCAATTACCAAGTGGAGATGCCATAGTTAAAACATTATAATAAGCTGAGATTCAGAATCTGATTTTCCTGAGTTGCAGACTTGTAATCTTGACTGTCATCAACCTGCTTCTCTTCTGTATCATTCATCGCACTACACAGCATGTAAACTGTGGCTGCTAAACGAAGTTTGAGAACTATGCATTTCTGAGATATCCCTTTCCACTCCCCTGCTGCTACTCTTCGAGTGAATCGCTGCCAAGTAAAAAGGTTGCATTATTACCCCACATTTTGGTAAAACTCTGCTCCTACGAAGAGTGACTATCAGTAGTTAGTATACGAAAGTAGTTGAAACAGTATACAAAACCGTTAAATCATATAATTAATTTAGTTGGATGACAAATAAATCAAGGACTTTTATAAATAACTTTTCGTCTACAAAGTTTCATTAACATTTTTTTTTAATCCAAAACCATGGAGCCAAATTTAGGTACCTTCAAATTTCCAAACAAGTTACTAATATGAATGCTTTTTAATGTACCGATGCCCCAATTCTTAATTGGTACAGTCTACCAAGGCACAAGTAAAAGAAATTAAGGCAGCATACTTAAGAACATACCTGCACCATCACCTTTAGCTGAGGCTGCTCGAGTGTTTGTTCACTCTTTCCCCCTACCCTAGGTAATGATCAGATGCTATGACAACAATGCTCTGTGTCAATATGCAGCATATCTACCTTCAAAGTAGTCACTAGATGTACTTATCTCATCCCGACAAAGAAAACAATCTGCACCACTGATTTGCTGAACCAGACAAGGTGATTCCAGCGCAACAAAGAGGATTAGTGGAATGGATGTGACAGGTACAGTCAACACTCGGCCTCTAAATGTGTGTGCAATGCAAAAGTCGGGTTTGAGTGGTCCAGGAAAACACTAGTATGCTTGTTGAGCCATCAGGCATACCAGAGGGAAACATTTACTTACATTGCCAATAAGGTCTAAAGGGGAATAAAGCACAATCAGATGATCCATTATTAAATTAATACAGAATCCGAAGCTTTCATCAAATCCACCGCTATAACACATCTGGAGCACTTATTTCTCTACCTAGTTTGTGTCAATCTCTGGATGGGAAAAATATTTGTCTACAAAGGCTGAGACTTTCACACAGACTGAGCTGTGACTAACTAGACAGTAGACACCCAAAACTGGTTTCAGCAGACTATTGGCAATAACCTTAGAATACATTTATACAGATTGATAATGCATGAAGCAGGCACAAAATCAATCATAGCATTTGGATTACTACAAGCACCAAAGGCAGAATTGATTTCACTAAGAAGCTGGCTGTCGTCACAGCCTCATTCACTATATTATATTCTCTCTGTTCCTAAATATCTGTCATTTAAAGTTTTTGCACAAAGATTAAAGAAGCTATTAAATAGCTCTAATATGAGTAAAAAATAATTATACAAGACTAAAATACTNGTCTGTCATTTAAAGTTTTTGCACAAAGATTAAAGAAGCTATTAAATAGCTATAATATGAGTAAAAAATAATTATACAAGACTAAAATACTCTTATTCAATACGTATTGAAAAAGAAAGGAATATGAAAGGCACTTAGCCTCCACCTCTTCTAATGTATTAAAAATTTAAAGGTAAATTTGGAAGAAAAAATATTAATTATGTTTTGGTTTCATAAAATGACAGATANGCACTTAACCTCCACCTCATCTAATGTATTAAAAAGTTAAGGGTAAATTTGGAAGAAAAAATATTAATTATGTTTTGGTTTCATAAAACGACAGATATTATGGAACAAAAANAAAACGGAGGGAATAAATCTTTTTTGAAGAATCCAGCACCAAAGTCATGAGCACATGGTGCCTTCTCATCGTTANGAAGTAAGTCTTTTTTGAAGAATCCAGCACCAAAGTCATGAGCACATGGTGCCTTCTCATCGTTAAAGGACTTAATTGTGTTCTGATGTCATCAATCTTGGTCAAGACCCCTTCGGATCAGTAGACATACTCAATAGAGATACCAAAGAGCTTTTCATTTTGGTGCAACAAGAAGTGCATGAGCTGTGAGGCATCAATTCCTTCATTCTTCCCAGCCAAAGCATATGGTTTCACTTGATCTTAGCCAAAGAACTGTCAAGAGCATTACCCTTACAAACAACAAAGGGCTTTACAATCACACAAAGGATGGGAGCAAATCCAAATAGTTTTAGCCGTATTCTCTAAAGATTGGGGAACAAGAAGAGATGTATTAAGAGAGATTTATTCGAGAGAAAATCTTAACAGTTAATCCAATCACAAATTACACGAAAGTTGCCCTTTTTTCATGGAGATTTACCACAAAGACACGCAAAGAAACAAAGCAAATTTCATATATCCCTTTTCCGCTCAATCTAGAAACAAGATCGGACATTATTCCAATTCATCTCCATTTTTGTGAAACTATTCCTCAAGCAAGGTAGGCAATAAGTAATCGAAGGTTTTACTTTTGAGTGAACAATGGAACAGCAATCATTAATTATTTTAAAGTGTCCCACTGTGATAAAATATCTTTACAAGAAAATGATGTGAGCGGTGATCCATATCACACACTACTGGACATAACATTTTGAACTGACATGGGAGACAGCCAGACTGTGTAGCTTCACACTATCTTTTGCAAAACTTCAATTACCGGTCAATAGAAGCCCATCTTCAGTTTTAACATTTTCGAGATGGTGCCCTTCAAGTTTCAACATCAATAAAGCATAGCCGTGTCATAACAGCTCCGCACCAATAGTAAGGCTCGAAAGCCATAAGTTGTGTGCCGTCTTGATGCTTTTAGCGACCCCAAGGAGGGCGCTATGAGCCCTTTTCCAAACTCCATTGAAAAGCCTCAAACTTACTGTTTCATCAGAGCACCCAAATGAAAGGATCTTGTGGACAATATCAAGCAATATAGCTCCACAAGAGCATAAACCCTCTTCTACAACTTCACAATCGCACAAATGATAGTAGCAAATGCACGCTGTTAATGAGCCAAGTCCAAAACAGGTGCCAGTGGGCTTCACAGTCTGAAATGATGGGGAAGACGCCCAAATCTGCTCTGCCGTCTCAAAATTTCTTTTGCAAAACCTTGATTACCAGTCAGTAACAGCCCATTCAATACACGATTGAAGGTAAACTTTCGAGGCAGGAATCCTCTATCAACCATTTCAATCAGCAGCTTCCCTGCCACTGATAAATCCTCCGATTTCTTCCTCACAAACATTGCATTGATCAATATATTGTACGTATCCAAATTGGGCAAGCAATCCCCGCTACCCATCCTCCCAAACACTTCCAAACCCTTCTCAATTTCCCCATCATCACAGTAATAGCGAATGACAACATTGTAAGTCTGAACATTCGGCTCACACTCATCATCTTTCATTCTACTCACATACTCCATTGCCCTATCCATCTTCCCTGCATGACATAATCCTCTAATCACCACATTATAAGTCGTCAAATTGGGTACATAACCCTTCCTCAACATCTCTTCAAGAACCAATATAGCATTTTCCACACTATCTTTCTTACACAAAACTGCAATCAAAGCATTGTAAGTGGCAACCGAGGGGAGCACCCCCGCCCCTACCATCTCATCAAAAACTTTTCTAGCTTTTTCAACCTCACCGACAACACCAAATCCATGAACCACAGTGGTACATGTAACAACGTCAATTTCACATTTTCTCTTCTTCATTTGCAAGAAAAAATCCCAAGCCTCCTTAATCTGACCAGCTCTGAAAAACCCTTTTAGTATTATGTTATAGGTCGTTAGAGTCGGATTCAATCCTCTCTCAACCATCTCCTTCAAAACCTCCAATGCTTTGGGCGTTCGCTTGCTTAAACAAAACCCATATGCAATTATATTGTAGCTAATAGTATCAGCTCTAAACCTACCCCTAAAGATTTTCAACAGCTCATAAGCCTTTTCGGCCCGTTTGGATTTGCAAAGCACATCAAGGAACGCATTGAACGAATTCAAATCATGAGAACAACCATGTTCATGCATTGACAAGAAAATTTTCAAAGCTTTATCAGGTTTGCCTGCCAACACATACCTCTCAGTGATAATTGCGAAGGTCTTGGGGGTCGGACCGAGCCGGCGAGTTTTCATCCTGGCCACGAGAGCCCAGAGGGCTTTGTAGTCACGCATTCGAGCGGCAATGTCGATGGCGTAGTCGAAGGCGGTGGCGGAGTGGGTATAGGTGTGGTGCCGTTCGAGGACGTTGAAGAATTGGAGGGCTTTGGGGCCGTGGTTCCAGAGGCGTTTGAGGACTTTCTCGACAAGGTATGGTGTCCATTGAACTGGGTGCGTTTGGAGAGCCTGTGCTAGAGTTTTTGGGTCTGTTTTGAGAATGAGGGTGGCGATGTTAATGGGGTCGCCGTCTTGCGGCGGTAGTGGAGTGGTGGATAGGTGGTGAGAGTGGAAATTTAGAGGGGTTTTGGTCGGGGGAAGACAGAGGAGAGAGAAGGGGTTGGGGTTTTTTGGAATTCTGAGGGTAAACATTTGTGAAATACACAAAGCAGGTGGGCTATGTGTACGCAGTTCATAGAATTGCCTTGCGTGTTTGACCATTTGGATGTTGGAGCAGAGGTATTTTTTTGTTTTTTTTTGGCCATCGGTAGTTAGTAATCTATTAGTGTGACTACGAGGGTTTCTCAAGAATGCCCGATTTAGGTATAATTATTAATTTATATTATAATATTTTTAATATATTAAAGATGTAATATAAAATTTTTAATTTTTAAAGATATAAAAAAAAAATTTAAAATCTTTTAGTATATAAAAGTGCGAAAAGTCCTCAAGTTTTTAAATTTAATTTTTTTTATTTGGAAAGTAAATTTTTTTTTAACTTAATTGGGTTATATTGTTTTGTTTAGCCTTAAAATTGAAGCTCAATTTTACAAATTTTCTTTACTCAATATAATAGTTATATCGTATCATTATCATCATGTAGTGTTATCAAATAAATAGGCTAACGAATCCTACTAATTTATGTAATAATTATCGAATATAAAGGGTATTGGTGGTTAATAAATTGAATGAGATCACTAATCAGTATTTAATTGGTAATATCGCCCGACAATGATGACATAATATTTGGCAAAACTTTAATCAGGATCGATAATCAGGTCGATTTTCAAATGTAATTTGTTTAGAAATTTAGTCACGCCCTGAGTCAAAACAAGCCGAGTTTTAATAATTAAAGATGAGTCTTTTTAAACTTGTTTTTTTTTAAAAATTTTAAAAATCGTCTAGCACGAGTCGAACTTAAGTTGAAGGCTATTTAAGCCGATCCCAAGTAACTGTTTAATTATGTGGCAAATCCCAGCTGGTGAATTTTTCAAAGACTCAAGCGCGGACTACCCTTGTTTGAGTTATTTCAATTTGATGCTTCACGCCCAGTCCCCTCAGATAGATAGAAAGATATCGAGGGAGATCGATGGGCACAAAGGAGAGCTGTAGGAGTGAGCTCCGAACTGCAATTCGTCAGCTCAGCGATCGCTGCCTCTACTCTGCCTCCAAATGGTACCCATCAAAACCCTAAACCCCAATTCTCTCTATCTGTACTCGTGTTTCAAAACTACATCATTGGATTGATATTTTCACACAATGTAATCCCAAATGCAATCTAGATTGATAAAAACACATACCCTTTAGCCTCATTCAGTGGATGGTTGTTCTGAAATTTTGGTTTTGATTTGACAGGGCAGCAGAGCAATTGGTGGGTATAGAGCAAGACCCGACAAAGTACACTCCATCACACACTCGATTCCAGCGAGAGAGTTCGAGTATTCGCCGGAGGTTCCGGACCAGTGAGGTTACTTCGACGCCGGCGGCTGGTGTTTCCTATGTGTCAACTCCGGTACCGGATGAGGACAATAATGCTCCGGACAATGATTTCTACCTTCTGGCCAAGTCTTACTTCGATTGCCGCGAGTATAAGAGGGCTGCTCACGTGCTCCGTGATCAGACCAGCAAGAAAGCCATGTTCTTGCGATGTTATGCACTCTACTTGGTTTGTTTCTACTTAGCTCTCTAACCATCTGTTGATTAATTTAACAAGTTTCCTACATGATTTTGATTTATATATGTTGGTCTTAATCTGTTGACAATGGGGATTAATTTATTTCTCGGTTGGGAGATAAAGCTACTTCTCAATTGTCTTTTGGCCTAAGTAATCGTAAGAATATGATAAGCTCTGGCATTGTGAAATCTTACGTGTAAAGAATTGGACTTTTGGTGTACATATGTTTATTCAAAATAATTTAAATGAGTGCGAAACATCTGGGTTACACAGCTAAATGGGTGCCTCAGAATTATGCACGAGTTTCACCTTAAGAGCTGAACAACTCAAGGTTGCGTATTACAGATATGTTTTTGCATCCAGACTTATGATAGCAGTTGTTATTTTGTGGGTACATCTTAGGAATAGGCTCATTTAAGTTTAGTTGCAATCAAAATTGAAGAAATTAACATTGCGTAGAGGCTAACTTCAGCTATGAATACCATTGTGTTTCATTTAGGTTGCCCTGTGATTACACCTCAAGACTAGGCTTAGTCGAGTTTTGCAAATCGAATTCACAAAAAGTAAACATCAGTTGATGGGTATTTGAGTGCNTAATCAGTATTTAATTGGTAATATCACCCGATAATGATGACATAATATTTGGCAAAACTTTAATTAGGATCGATAATCAAGTCGATTTTCAAATGTAATTTGTTTAGAAATTTAGTCACGCCTAACCTGAGTCAAAACAAGCCGAGTTTTAATAATTAAAGATGAGTCTTTTTAAACTTGTTNGCCCGACAATGATGACATAATATTTGGCAAAACTTTAATCAGGATCGATAATCAGGTCGATTTTCAAATGTAATTTGTTTAGAAATTTAGTCACGCCCTGAGTCAAAACAAGCCGAGTTTTAATAATTAAAGATGAGTCTTTTTAAACTTGTTTTTTTTTAAAAATTTTAAAAATCGTCTAGCACGAGTCGAACGAACTTAAGTTGAAGGGTATTTAAGCCGATCCCAAGTAACTGTTTAATTATGTGGCAAATCCCAGCTGGTGAATTTTTCAAAGACTCAAGCGCGGACTACCCTTGTTTGAGTTATTTCAATTTGATGCTTCACGCCCAGTCCCCTCAGATAGATAGAAAGATATCGAGGGAGATCGATGGGCACAAAGGAGAGCTGTAGGNTTAAGTTGAAGGCTATTTAAGCCGATCCCAAGTAACTGTTTAATTATGTGGCAAATCCCAGCTGGTGAATTTTTCAAAGACTCAAGCGCGGACTACCCTTGTTTGAGTTATTTCAATTTGATGCTTCACGCCCAGTCCCCTCAGATAGATAGAAAGATATCGAGGGAGATCGATGGGCACAAAGGAGAGCTGTAGGAGTGAGCTCCGAACTGCAATTCGTCAGCTCAGCGATCGCTGCCTCTACTCTGCCTCCAAATGGTACCCATCAAAACCCTAAACCCCAATTCTCTCTATCTGTACTCGTGTTTCAAAACTACATCATTGGATTGATATTTTCACACAATGTAATCCCAAATGCAATCTAGATTGATAAAAACACATACCCTTTAGCCTCATTCAGTGGATGGTTGTTCTGAAATGTTGGTTTTGATTTGACAGGGCAGCAGAGCAATTGGTGGGTATAGAGCAAGACCCGACAAAGTACACTCCATCACACACTCGATTCCAGCGAGGGAGTTCGAGTATTCGCCGGAGGTTCCGGACCAGTGAGGTTACTTCGACGCCGGCGGCTGGTGTTTCCTATGTGTCAACTCCGGTACCGGATGAGGACAATAATGCTCCGGACAATGATTTCTACCTTCTGGCCAAGTCTTACTTCGATTGCCGCGAGTATAAGAGGGCTGCTCACGTGCTCCGTGATCAGACCAGCAAGAAAGCCATGTTCTTGCGATGTTATGCACTCTACTTGGTTTGTTTCTACTTAGCTCTCTAACCATCTGTTGATTAATTTAACAAGTTTCCTACATGATTTTGATTTATATATGTTGGTCTTAATCTGTTGACAATGGGGGTTAATTTATTTCTCGGTTGGGAGATAAAGCTACTTCTCAATTGTCTTTTGGCCTAAGTAATCGTAAGAATATGATAAGCTCTGGCATTGTGAAATCTTACGTGTAAAGAATTGGACTTTTGGTGTACATATGTTTATTCAAAATAATTTAAATGAGTGCGAAACATCTGGGTTACACAGCTAAATGGGTGCCTCAGAATTATGCACGAGTTTCACCTTAAGAGCTGAACAACTCAAGGTTGCGTATTACAGATATGTTTTTGCATCCAGACTTATGATAGCAGTTGTTATTTTGTGGGTACATCTTAGGAATAGGCTCATTTAAGTTTAGTTGCAATCAAAATTGAAGAAATTAACATTGCATAGAGGCTAACTTCAGCTATGAATACCATTGTGTTTCATTTAGGTTGCCCTGTGATTACACCTCAAGACTAGGCTTAGTCGAGTTTTGCAAATCGAATTCACAAAAAGTAAACATCAGTTGATGGGTATTTGAGTGTGAGCAAAAGCGTACGTCCAATGCAAGTATGAAATTCCAGTAGTAGACACACCGAAAAATTGCCAACTAATAGGAATTGCTCTTTCATAGGCTTGTTTATCTATCAGTTAGATTGTGTCCCTGTTTTTCGATGTTGTGTTCAAGGTTTCAATCTAAAAGGTGTATTTATGTTTGTGTGTAAGGTTAGAATCTGAACTTTTGTTGTGTGTTTGGGTTTAAGTTTAGAATCTAAAATGTTTTTGTCCTTTACAGTGACCTTACACATGTCTCTGGGAGTTGGTGTCATAATAAATGTAGAATTTTAGATACTCTAGAAGCAAAGTATTTTTTATGGTCAGTTGTTTTTGCGTTGCTGTAGTTCTTTTCCTTGTGAAGGCCTTCTGTTTACTCCGTTATTTTTCGCTCAAGTGAACTTATTTAAGGTTGCTTACATAGTTGCCCTCATCAATTTGGGGCTTAAACAAATTTGAAATTTGATTGTATGTCAGAAAATCTTCAAGCTGTATACAATTTCTGGTTGCCTGTTGGTATACACTCAATCATGTTTCTCTGTGGAGCTGCTGCAATCCAATTCGTCTTTCAGTGAAAATAGTAAGAAACATAGGCTACTGCATGAATAAACTTTTCCATGTTCATGTATTTAGCTTTCACAATCTGATTTGGCTTTGTTGAAAGATATTTAGTTAAGCCAATGAAGCCTAATCAGCTTGCAGAGAGTTTAAGGGCCTGGTCCAGAAAACTCTAATCCAAGTTCTTTAAGTAAAAGAAGAATTCAATACAAAATTTTGAGTAAAATGAATGTCATCTGCACCTACCTATCAAGGATGCCATTGGCTTAAATTGTTTGCATGTGTGCATGCCTGATCGCTTTCTTTTTTGACCAAGGTTTAAATATGCCCTTCCAACACTTCATTGCTGCAGCTATCTTTAGAAGTTCTATGTTTGATACCCACCGAGAGTGGTTTGCAGGTCCATTTACGCTTACTGGTGTAAAGAATATCATCGTGTGGTGCATTTTAGCTGAAATAACTTGTCTTGGATTAATCAGCATCAATACTATGTGATTTGAGAAAGCTAGGATGACATTAATCTTTGCACTCTCTTTGTTTCATGAAGGCTGGAGAAAAGCGAAAAGAAGAAGAGATGATAGAACTTGAGGGACCCTTGGGCAAGAGTGATGCTGTGAACTGTGAACTGGTTTCTCTTGAGAGGGAGTTGTCTACACTTCGCAAAAATGGCACAATTGACTCCTTTGGGCTTTATTTGTATGGTCTTGTTCTTAAAGAGAAAGGCAGCGAGAACCTTGCTCGTACAGTGCTTGTGGAATCTGTAAACAGCTACCCATGGAACTGGAATGCTTGGTCAGAGCTGCAGTCAATGTGCTCTACAACTGAGACGTTGAACAGTCTTAATCTCAATAACCATTGGATGAAAGACTTTTTTCTTGCTAGTATTTACCAGGAACTAAGGATGCATAATGAATCTTTGGCAAAATACGAATATCTTCAAGGAACATTCAATTACAGCAACTACATCCAGGCTCAAATTGCTAAAGCCCAGTACAGTCTGCGGGAATTTGAACAAGTTGAGGTTATATTTGAAGAACTTCTAAGGAATGACCCTTATCGAGTTGAAGACATGGATATGTACTCTAATGTTCTCTATGCAAAGGAGTGTTTCTCTGCCCTAAGTTATCTTGCTCACAGGGTATTTTTGACGGATAAATACAGACCCGAGTCTTGTTGCATTATTGGGAACTATTACAGCTTGAAGGGGCAACATGAGAAGTCAGTTATGTATTTTAGGAGGGCACTCAAATTGAATAAAAAATATTTATCTGCTTGGACACTTATGGGTCATGAGTACGTTGAGATGAAGAATACCCCAGCTGCTGTTGATGCATATAGGCGTGCTGTTGATATAAATCCTTGTGATTACCGAGCCTGGTATGGTTTAGGGCAAGCATATGAAATGATGGGAATGCCCTTTTATGCACTTCATTATTTCAGAAAATCAGTGTTCCTGCAGCCAAGTGATTCTCGGTTGTGGATTGCCATGGCTCAGTGTTATGAAACAGAACAGCTTCATATGCTTGAGGAGGCAATCAAGTGTTACAGAAGAGCAGCAAATTGTAATGACAGGGAAGCAATTGCTCTTCACCAGCTAGCAAAGCTGCATGGTGAGATTGGGCGTTCTGAAGAGGCAGCATTTTACTACAAAAAGGATTTGGAGAGGATGGAAGCTGAAGAGAGGGAAGGGCCAAACATGGTTGAGGCTCTTCTGTTTCTCGCCACACATTCCAAAACCCAGAAAAGATTTGAAGAAGCGGAGGTGTATTGTACCCGTCTTCTTGATTATACCGGACCAGTAAGTTATATCACATTGTTGTTTTTTTTGTTTACTACTCACAAGAAGATTAATCATCCATCACCAAAATCTCAGAAGCGCATGTGAACACCACAAATAATCTTGGATTAGCTTTATTACTTCCCTTTCAACTTCTTTTGCCATGATTGCAGGAGAAGGAAACAGCTAAGAGTATACTTCGAGGCATAAGATTTGCACAGTCTGGTTTCCCTTCAATGGATGTTGAGCATTTTCCTCCCTAAAAACTCCATTCGGAAGTAGGAAAAGAAACTTTGAAGCAGGTACGCATCTGGCTTAGATGATGAACAACTGATAAAATGCTTGTGAAAGGTCGATATAACAGCAAGCAGGTCCTGAACTTTATTTTAGTAGAAGATATCAATGTGCTTTTTCGTGGTGTTTTATTTATTTAAGTTTAGGAGAGGGACTGTTTTCTTAGTGTCAAAATTTTAGGAGTTTATAATTTTTGATAATATAAGTTTGTAGCATGAGAAAGATTCCTTTTCTGGAAGATGGCACTACTGTAAGTCAAGAACTCTTGGCTGAAAGCCTGTAGATTGTAATTGAGCTTAACAATGAGGCACAATCCTGTCGTTATTTATTGAAACCATCTCTGGCCTAAGATATTTAATATTTTGTCTAGCAACATAGATATTCATTGTTGCCTAATGTTGCATTCACATCATTGCAACTTGTATTGAAACCATCTTTGAATTATCTTTTTGATTGATACCCATCGACTGCAAATTACATTTCTTAATTTCGTTTAAGACCTGTGGATACCTATATGGAGTTGAATGGAGGAAGGGTTGAAAAGACCGGTGGACTCTTTAGAGTTTACCATGGAGATAGTCCCTATCCCCTTGAATTTTGTGCCTCCCGAAACATGTTACCATCATAGTACAAAAGGGTGGGCAACTTCCCCTGTTTCTTCTGCATTACATCTACAATACTTGTGCTGTTCAAGAAATAATTTGCTGCTATATGAGTGGCAAGGTCATAAGATTACTTGGAACCTATTCAGGGACAGCACAAATGATATTTCATGGAGTTTGGTGTAGGAATTAACCTCTCCAAAATGGGGGTAAGCATGTCTATCACTTGCGTCTCTCAGATCTTGTTGCAGGATGAAGTTTTCTGCATTGACAGCCTTTGCAGAATTTGCAAAGGTTAGGCTCTATTTGGTTTATGTCTCAAAAAACAATATCTGAAAATTGTTTTTGGAAAAAGTTTTAGAAAAATGTTTCGGTATTTTTGGGTAGTAGAACTTGTTTGGTTATAAGATTCTAAAAATAGTTCTACAAAATAAAAAATAGTAAAACTTGTTTGCAAAGTTGTTTAGCTCTTAATTTAATCATCTGCAAAGAAACTGTTTCCATGAATCAAATCTGTAAGGCACAAGTCATAGTGGAACCAACCTTACTTCTGTATTCAGATACACCCTCAAAATGGAGCCACATTATGCCCCCCCCCCCCCCC